TTTTTTTTTGGTTTGTAAAGTTTCTGATACGGGCACGATTCCATCATCTAGATTAGATTGTGATGGCTGTTGAGAGTGATGACTCGCTTTTATATATATATGTTTTAAAAATTTTCTTGGTAGTGGTAAATGTTGTATACTTGTGGCCTGAAATCAAATCTATGATGTAGTATCCTGCTTGTATATATATATATATATATATATGTATATGTATATATTCTGGTTTAAGCTTCTAGTTTGTTTAACTGCAATTTTAATCGTTTGTTGAATACAGTGCTGCGTGCCGTAAAATTTTATATGAGTCGTTGGTTAACTCTATGCACCCGGAAGCTGTTAAAGAATGATGCTCTGTTTTAGATATTTTTTTTTGTTCTTTTTTCAGTCTTCGTTTTGCCATATTTTGCTGTAAAAGCTGCCCCTTATGATAAAAATTGTATCTTTTTTTGTCTCAATAATTGGAGTCAATGGATTATCGATAGAGGTTAAATTTAAAAAATGAGTTTCTCTCCCCTTACAGGATCGCACAAGCTGCAGTGGGTTTGCTAGATATGTGAGTACAAGTGCTGTTGCAACAAAACCCTCAGGAGGCTTTTTCAGTTGGTTGACTGGTGAGAAGGGGTCTTCACTTCCACCATTAGATTTTCCACTGAAAGATATTCCACAGCCTGAACCATTGCCCGACTATGTTGAGCCCGGAAAGACCAAGATAACTACTCTTCCTAATGGGGTCAGAATTGCATCCGAAACATCAAAGGTAGGGGATGAAGTTGCATTCTCTCTTCTCCGTGTGTATGTGTGAGTGCGTGATAGTGTAAGTAGTACTGTCATTCTTGTGGAAAATATGGTAATTTAATTAGGTTTTGTAACCAGAACCATGCAGCTTCAATTGGGTTATATGTTGACTGTGGCTCAATCTACGAAACTCCAGCTTCATTGGGGGTCACACATCTCTTGGAGCGAATGGCATTCAAAAGTACCGCTAACAGAAGCCACCTGCGTATTGTGCGTGAAGTTGAGGCAATTGGGGGCAATGTAGGTTCATCAGCCTCCCGGGAGCATATGAGTTATACTTATGATGCACTAAAGACTTATGTTCCTCAAATGGTAGAGCTTCTTGTTGACTGCGTGAGAAATCCAGCATTTTTGGATTGGGAAGTTAGCGAACAGGTCTTTATTGTGTTTTCTCATCTTGGGATTAAATACTCAAGACTTTGCTTTTTTGGATGTTGCGTTTACTGTTTTTAACACACTTGCAGATCCATAAGTTGAAGGATGAGATAAAAGATTTCTCCAAAAACCCTGAGAACCTACTTATAGAGGCTGTACAGACAACTGGTTACTCTGGTCCCTTTGGCAATCCTCTTGTGGCTTCAGAGTCCGCGCTTAGTGGTCTGGATAGCAGTGTGTTGGAGGAGTTTGTTGCTGTGAGTATTATATTTATATGTCATATATTTGTTACTGTTTCAACAGTTTTTTCTTGAGGCTTTGTCTCTGGGCAGGTCACCTTTGGATTATTTCATTCTTTAATCTCCTAATTGATTATGATATTTGTTTCAGAAAAATTACACTGCTCCAAGGATGGTTCTTGCAGCATATGGTGTAGACCATGATAAACTTTTGGAATATGCAGAACCACTTTTAATTGATGTTCCTTATGTTTCTCAACCTTCAATGCCAAAGCCGGTTTATACAGGAGGGGATTTCCGCCACCAAGATGGTTCAGGGGTGTGTGTCGAAGTTACTTCTCGTTCTGTTTATGCCTATTATGTGATCGCTATTCTGGGATCCTGACAGTATTACCTTTTTCTCTTTGTTTATCAGTTAACTCATGTTGCTCTTGCCTTTGAACTTCCGGGTGGCTGGATTGAGGAAAAGGATGCTATGACTCTGACTGTTCTTCAGGTTCCTTCATTCTTCATAAAGTTTGTTCTTTCTAAAGAAAAGAGCTTCTGGGGCATTTGTTGCCCAGAGTTCTTAAAATACCCGTTCTTCAAGTAGTTTTTGATAATTCAAACAATAATTTTTTCCATGGAAAGGAGCATATGAGAACATCTTGTTGCTTGAATTTCTTCAATATGTTCCTTTTCAGTCGATTAGTACTTCTTTTCCTTTTCTTTACTGCCGTCTTTAAAAAATAATATCTTAATTATGCAACATTTTGCTCTCTTTTTGTAAGAAGATGCTAATTATATTTATCTAATAGCTTCTCATGGGGGGAGGTGGATCCTTCTCAGCTGGCGGCCCTGGGAAAGGGATGTATTCAAGATTATGTAAGTTGTATTAATGACATGCTAAATTAGATAATTATCTCAATATTTGCACACATTCATCTAGACTTTAATTTGTCAATTCATGTGCAGTTTGGTTTACTTTTGCACTAATGGCTTTAAAGGTGTATTGTCCGCCAAGATGGCGTTCGTGTGAACTTCGAATTTATTTTGTTGTGTCTTTGTTTGTCAGAAGTTGAATTTCACCTTATTTTATGTTTTATTTAGCTTGCGAAAATTGTAACGTTTGATTTTTAATGCGCGTTTTTGTAATTGGTAAACAGATCGTCGCGTCCTGAATGAGTATCCTCAGATACAAACCTTTTCTGCTTTCAGCAGCATTTGCGATCATACTGCAATATTTGGAATTCTATCCACCACTGTAAGGAGTCTTCTATTTACTAATATGTTGTATCTGGATTTCTTTTTCAGTAGCTGATAATGCAAATATTTTCTGGCCTAGATATCTTGTTTGATTGAGACCTTAATTAACTGATGGTTTTCTCCATTTCATATTGATTGTAGTTTTGGCGACATTATTTAATAGTTTAAAATTAAGTGTTGTAGCATTTTTTGCCACAATTTCCAACTTTGTCCCTACTTATTTTTGAGTCGGAACAAAATCATGGTAATTATATAATAATGAAAAGGGAGAAAGAAATATTATATAGCAATCGTATTAACTGATCAGGGTTGTAGTAGTCGAATTTATCTTCTCCGTAGTTCATAAGAACAACTCTAAAACAAAACTCAATACGAAACAATGGGAGGACTGTATTTCGTAGCCGAATCAGTGTAGTTTGTAAAAGATTATTCATCTAGGGATTGATGGTTTGACACATATTAAAATGTGTGGCATAATGTAAATATACATACTTGCTGCTTATATGCCCATCTTGCATATGCTGTATTGGCTGAGCTCTATGTTCCTTGAAAGCGAAGTTGTAAAACAAACCAAGTGTGATGTATCCTGAGAAATAGGCCCAAGATGTTCGATTCTGAATACTGTTTATAATCTTCCCCCCAAAATCAATTTTTAAGTAGACAAGTATTTAACCCAGTCATATGGTTTCAAATACATGAATATGGATTATTTGTTTAGATTGTCTTTTTTGTTATATTTCTTGATATAAGCTCTCATGGAAAATGTCTTAGTTGAGGACCTAAACTTAGCATACTGGAAACCAATTGTATTGATGCAAGGTTCTGAATTTTCAAATAAGGCTATTAATGTCGATGTTAAAGAACTCACTGCTGTTGCCTGTAGTATTTTTTTATATTTTATTTTTTCTGAAAATAGTGATGTGAAAACCAATCGTTGATACAGGGTTCTGATTTTGCAAGTAACGCTATTGATATTGCTGTTAATGAACTCACTGCTGTTGCCAGCCCGGGTGAAGGTTTTACTTTCTAACTTTATTACTCCCTCCAACCCATTGTTGTTGTCCCATAAGTACTCTTTTTCCTTCCCAAAGTTTGATCTTCTTGGCTAGTTCAAGCCTTCAAGGTGTGTTTTAGTTCATTATTTCCTTGTTATGCTCCTATTGTATGAGTCTATGAAACAACTTCGGAACTTCCAGGGTACGTAAAGGTCGGAAATATAACAAGGCCGTAATAGGAACATTGAATTATTTTAATTTTGTGGTGCTTGTTTAACACTTTTTTGATTTGTTTGAAATTGTGATACGGAAACTGTCGAGATAGGAAGGAGGGACTAAAATGTTTTTCTTTCTGATTTGGTTGTTCTTGCAACTTATCCACAATTGGTTTCTGGTGACTGGATCATGGAGAGTTCCTGAGTTACTCTCAAATATTATTGTGCATGTGTTATTTTTGTTTTTTTATATTCTAGTTTCTTCAAATTTTAACATATTCCTTTTCCAAATTCAAGTGTCACAAATTAAGTTTTTATTCTAGTAGAGCTTAGAAGCCTGGAAAAAAAATACATTTTACCACATTGCACCCTACTGTTCGCTTGATGTTTTTGTTTTTGTGATAAATTTTGCTGATCTTGTGTGCACTCTCATTTTGATCTTGCAGTTGATGAGGCACAGTTAAATCGTGCAAAACAAGCGACAAAGTCTTCCATATTGATGAACTTGGAATCCAGAGTATGCAATGTTGCTTATCGACTTCAATTTTGTTGTTCAGCGAGTTCTAAATCTTACTCGTTTTAAAGTTAAATGCCTTTCCTCTTATATGGATGTGGGTATATTATTAGTCACTGATTGGATTGTCTTTCCAGATGGTTGCATCAGAAGACATAGGTAAACAAATATTGACATATGGAAAAAGGTCAGCCCTTTAATGACTTTTTTTTTTTTTTTAAAATTAATTCACAATTGCTTGTTAGTGATTTACCTACTGTCAAACCTTTTGAAATGTTAGCCACTAATAATATGGTTACCTTCAGATTAAAATGTTGGAGTAATTTCGTAATTATCACTAAGTCATGTCTTTTTGGACATTAAACTATGACATATTGAACAATACACGATCAAGCAATGAAAACAATTCAAGTGACTGAATGACCTACGAACAATATTTTCATGAATCTTCCAACTATATCAAATTCAATGTTGCTTGTTTGTCTCTTACAGCCTTTTTTAAGTATCTAGAGGAACTTGGCAAAGTTAAACTAATAAAAAAATAAATAAACAAATAAAAAAAAAGACAAAACACAGTGGAGAGTTGCCAAGGCCGTATCATTTGGGAGACCACTTAAATTTATCAAGTTCAGTAGTAATGTTTGGTCATTCATGGGACGTTAGTGAAAAAGGACCAAGTAATTTCTTGAAAAGTTTGTTTCTTTGTAGTCTAGTAATGAAATGATGTGGTTTTGAAGAATTAGAGCATGGTTGTATGTAGAAATATCTGTTATGAGGTGCATTATATAAGACGATTTCATATTTAATATGTATCCTCAAGTCAGGACCAGAAATCAGTTTATCACTCTAGAGAATATTCGGATGACTAATGTCCCTCCCAATTGACCTTTTTTTTAGGACCTAGGTAATCACTTTTTTTTTTTTTCTCTCAAGTTAATGATAAATTATCCTCAATGATTGTGGTTGTTTGCCTCTGTGAATTCTAAAAAGAACAATTTTTCGCATGCGTTTTCGTTTTTGATACAAATTTTAGCGTACTCTTCTTTTTTGGTGTTGACCATTAATTATTTACGTTCGTAATCAGGAAATCGGCAAAACATTTCTTGAATATTGTCGATTCAGTCCAACCAAATGATATTGCTAGTGTAGCACAGAAGCTTTTATCATCTCCCCTCACAATGGCATCTTATGGAGATGGTAATTCAATCTCTCTCTCTCTCTCCCTCTCTCTCTCCCTCTCTCTCTCTCTGTGGTCATATGATTTATCTAATGAGCGCCTATTTTTGTAACTCTCTTTATCTGCAGTGATTAATCTGCCCAGCTATGATGCTGTTAGCAGCAAGCTCAATGCAAAATGAAGCCATCCTTGTTGGCAATGATCGGGAAAACCCTTTTTTGTTTTTTTTTTTAAAAAAAATTATGAAGCGTTTTATGGCATCAAATGGGAATAAGGGATGCTTGCATGAATATTCGGAAAACCTTGTAGCAAGAAGCACTTTGATTCATTGTGTGGGTTGTATCTTTTATGTACTTGTGTTTTTGAAGTACATTGGTCTCGTGATGTCTCGTTGCTATAGTTAGTGTAGACTTGGATTTATGTCCTAAATAAGGCACGGATAGTTGTATTATCCTGTTTTGGAGGGCTTTTTTTTTTTTTTTTTTTTTTTTTTTTTTTTTTTTTTTTTT